GGGGAGGAAGTTTGGTTGTTCAATCTCCTTAGAACACTTCAAAGCATGATAGTTCCTAGTAGTTACAAGTGGTTATATGTTGTTCTTGAAGGGTTTTCCTTGTTGTATTTCTTAAGAACCAATTTGGCCAACCTAGGAAATAGACCCTAGGATGAGTTTTTCAATGTTTTAAGGCCTCCATTGTGTTCAAAATGGAAAATAGTATAGGGTGAACCTAAATAACAATTGTTGGAAGCATGGGAACCAAAGTTAAAATTTTTGGATAGTGAACCCTATAGGTTCGGTCAAGTGGAATCTGAAAGGAGGGGTTTTGTTTTTTTAAATCCAAGCACATATTTGGAAAACTATAGGAATAAGTTAGGAGGGAACTTTTAGGGTTAAAGAAATAAACCCTAAAAAATCAAGAACAAAGAGGGAAGCTTTAAAAGGGTTTAAGAAGTTCTTGAGTTATGTTGTTGATTTTTGTATGGAATGGTTGATGATCTTACTGCCCCTTTTGTACTTTATCTTGTGAGGGTTTGGCATTTGTGAAGGGAAGGAATAAAAACAAAGAAAGCTCAAGTCTTTGGAGCAAGGTAGCAAAGTTTAACCTAGCTACTAACATTAACTTTGCATTGTTGATTATTGCATGATTAATTGCTGTTATGTGGATGAGCTTTGCTAATTGTGATGTGGCTGCTCTTTCACTTTATTGCTTTGGCCTTTGTATGATTGAGATTGCCAAATTATGAGAATGCTAGTTCACCACTAGTAGCTAATGTGGTTATGCATAATAATGATGCTTGTTGATGATATAGTTGGTTGATTTTGCTATTGGGATTTCAATGAAATCTCTTTCCTTCCAAATAAAATCTAACCTTTTAGGAGATGAATCATTAAAGGGCAAGCTCCAGATTCAAGCTTAATCATGATGCCTAACCATAAAAATTTTGTTGGCTTTTGGTTATGTAATTATTTTGTTGTTCAATGCTATAATCCTAACCACACCACCAACTTGGAGCGATGTTTTGACTAGGTTCCCGAATGTTGAGTCATGAAATTTAGTATGAATGTAGAACATATCCTAAGATTCAATTTGATAGGTAGCATGTTAAAAATGGCCAACCACATGATTTATAATGGTTTTTCAAAGTTAAGGTCCAGAATCTGGAAAAGGAATTTTTACTAAAAGGATAGTGGTGACTTCCACAAAACTCTGACACTTTCTCAAATAGAATTGGTTCACAAGTTTATTTTTTCTTTAAAGAGAATTCAATGAGCTTTCCATATAAATTTGAACTACTCTGTTTTGATTTTTTTAGATTAAGTTATGATTTTTGAAGTTGGACTAGAAAACTAGATTTTTACCAAATGAATAGTAAAAATCTATAAATCAGCGTTTTGTGTGGAAAATTGAGCCCAAAACCATCCAACGTAGTCTAAAATGATTTTGATTGATCCCTAAGTTGATATGATAGTAAGATGTAACACTTTGAAGATAAGAATATGGAAAAGGAAGTTTCTTAAGATTTACGTCATTACCTTTATTGTTAGAAGTGTCTTGTGTGTTATGTTGACTCCTTTTAGCAGCTCCAACACCCTCTTTGCCGTCAACAAGCACAATAGCCTTTTTCTTTAAGATGCACTTCTCTTTCATACTTTTGAAAAGGTACAGTTGTAGAAGTTGGCCCTTGGAATTGTAAGCTTTCATCCAAAACAACCTCTTCATCTTTATTTTCCTTATCTTTCTTTCTAACAAACTTCCCACTTCTCAAACTTATAGCATTTAAGCCTTTAGGATTAATAACAGTGTTGGAGGGTAAGTCTCCTTGCTTAGCATCTTACTCACTCTTAAAATTTGCCATTTGGGTAACAAAAGTGTCACACCTTACTTATATAGTACCTTAGCATTCATTTAGAACCATTCCAGACCATGTTGGATGGTCTTACACTTAAAAATTTCAATTTGGACGTTAATTTTCGGAAAATTACTATTCACTGTCTAGTTTTCCGATTACAGGTCCAGCTTTGAAAAATCATAACTAATTCTAAAAAAATCGTATGGAGGTGTTCCAAAATTCTACAAAAATCTCTTTCAATGCTCTTTAAGGGAAAAATATTCAACTGAACTCACCCTCACTGAAAACGTACAGTTTATTGGATTAAGATTACTATTCGTTTGGTAAAATCTGGACTTTCCAGATTCTCTGCCTTAACTTTGAAAATTCATATTTCTTCATATATACATCCAAATGAGGTGATTCACCACTCATTTTAAATCTTGGGATGTGTAATATAAGTATACCAAATTTCATAGCTTAACTCATTCATATGATAGGTCAAACTGAAGCTCGAAACTAATTGCTCCATGACCTACGTTTTATCCCTTAACATCTCTTTACTTTCATTCTTTTTATTTCTTTGGCATACCTAACATGGGCTTACTTTTTCCCATTCATGCTCATACATTCCTATACATGCCATAAGCTTTATAATTAAATACATGGCATTCACAACATAATTATAGCATAGGAGAATTATACATTGAATATTAGTATCAATCATTAGCATCAATAATTCTCCACTTCTTCTCCTTGCTTCTCATGCCATTAGTGCCTATCATTGATTGACCTAAATGGTTGGTTACGAAGGGGTGAGATTCGGGGGAATCTTAGTAGCAAACATTACCACATACATGCACAAGATGGATGCTAGTGTATGGTATGTAGTTTTTCATAACTTAAGTTAACTAGTGACATGCCATCATGCTTTATGCTTGGTATGAAAATGCATGGCCATGGAAACATATTAAAAAAAGCATTTTCAGCAACAATCATCATGTTACAACATCATTCAAACAACAAATACAAACCAACACATGAGCATACCATGTCAAGCACATAAAGGGTAAGTTCACTGCCTTGCATCTCAAGCTTTCCTCTTACTTTTCCTTTGACTCCCTTGACTTTCCAACCATGTGGGCATTTGGTTAACATCACCAAACATCCTCTTGGATGTTCCAAAGGTCCTAAACATAACCATAATGATCACACAATCCATTCAGAATCAGATATGTACAGTAACTAGTTCGAAATAGGTATCAAATGAGATGCTACAGCTACCACATACCTTGATCTTGAAGCTTGAACTTAGGTGGACTTTCTCTTACTAGAAATAGCTCTTTCTCTCTCTAGATGCAAGGGTAGCAGAGTTTTCCCTAGTGTTCATCAGCTTGGCTGAATTGGGGGGGAGAAGAGTGCCTATTTATAGCCAAAAAGTTAGCTTGAATGGACCAAAATGCCCTTGGTAGCTAGAAGAATGAGTAAGGGCAATTTTGGAAGTTCAAGTGGACTTTTGCATCATCATTGCATCACCTTATTACATCATCCTTGCATCATGCTTCTAAAAGAGGCCACGTGTCACAAAAATGATGGAGGAGAAGGAAGATTAGATCATAAGCATCGGATCTAAACTTAGCCCTTAAGTTTCCTCCTATTTTACTTGGCCCACATTTCTTTGACTTTCTTTATGGCCTTCTGGGGTTCAGTGAATTCTTCTGTCTACTCCATAAATTCCCCTTCATTCTAAAGAGTACCTATAAATTTTCTCAGGCCATAACACTTCCTCTAAGCCTTGTATAAAAATCATTTACTAAAATACCCTTTTTATCGGTATAATCTGCTCTTTAATTTATTAAAGCCATTCCACTGGCCTTTTGGTTGCGGGACTAATTTTATAAATTAGTATAACCTTTCAACCAATTAATTCTCATTTTTACGTACATTTTTGAGGTCTCTTGCTATTTTAAATAATTACCTCAAATAGTGTACTTTTTACTAGCCATACCCTCATAAATTCCATTTAAGCTATCTCAGGGGTATTTTCATCTTTTCTCTTTATAGAAGAGTCTTAGGATATTATTTCCCATTTTTTGGGATTTTCTTGAAATTTTCTATACACTCTTCCATTTTTCCCCTTGCTGGTCATAACGTTTTGAATTTACAATTTAGTCCCTGCTTGGACTTAACTTCATATAATCCTCTCTTTAAGGCTTCTAACTTAACCTTTGGCCTATATCTAGTCTCTTTTCTCTCTCTAGGCCTTCGAGACTTTACTGGAGTCTCTGACCTTGATTATACTGAAGCCCCTGAAAAACTTTTACTTTGCAGTTTAGTCCCTGAAACTGCTTTGACTTCCTTTCTCATCTTTAGGACTTCTGCTCAAAAAAGGTCCCGTAGCCTATCCAATTCAGGCTACTTTTGATGCTTTTAGGCCCAAAAGTCTGGATGTTACAAAAAGCTTGGAGATTATTATTTTTTATCTCAAGTTGCTCCACCTTGTCACACAACTTGCTCATCTTTAATAAAGTGTCCTCTTTATTAGGTTCTTGGATTGAAATTTCTCTTATTGTAGATGGCCCAACATAGTTTCCCATAGAGGTATTCCCAAATTGTGCTTGAAAATTTCTAGCACCCCTATACAAATTCTCCTTACCTTGACTACCTTGAAATCTTCTATTGTCATTGCCATTCCACTTAGAGGTAAAGTTTCCTCTCCAACCATTATTATAAGTGTTTTAGGGGAATTTGTAAGGTCTTTGGAAGTTCATGGTAGCTACTTCTCTAGATTCAACCATAGAGGGACAATTAGTAGTAGTATGCATAGGAGTGGCACACACATCATAAGTGGTAGGGACAAGAGCTTGAGTCATGGGAGCAGTGTGCAGGGCTTTGACTTGGTGTTTTTGTTGAGTTTGCATGGCCTTTTGCATATAAACCATTTGGTCACTTAAGATAGCCAATTTGTTCAGGATTTCATCTGTTTGCCAAGCTCCTAGCCCATATACTTAGGCAGCATCTCTAACCCCAAACTGTTGATTATTTGTAGCCATATTCTCTAAAAGATCCCACACCCCTTGAGAGGTTAAGTCAATTAAAGAACCACCAGCAACAACATCAATGGTAGATTTTTAGTGATCCAGCGATCCATCATAGAAATATTAAACCTAATGTGGTTGGAAAATTTGGTGATATGGGCATTTAGTAAGAAAAGCTATGAACCTTGTCTAATACTCATAAAGACTTTCTCCAATCTCTTGTTGAACACTATAAATTTCCTTCCTCATCCTAGCTGTCCTTGAAGTGGGGAAATATTTTTCTAAAAATTGCTTCTTTAATTACTCCCATAAGAGTGTTGCAAAATGTTGAGGCAACATGTGTAACCACTCCTTGGCCTTGCCTTCCACAAAAAACAAGAAGACTCTACTTAAAACATTATCTAAGTGAGCTCCTAGAGGCTTTATGGAAGAATAGATCATGTGAAGGTTTTGGGGATGCCCATATGGGTCCTCACCTGCATTGCCATGAAACTTAGGTAAGGCAATTATCAAGGCTCTTTTTAATTCAAAGTCAGCATTAAAATTGTAGAAGCCATAAGGATTATAATCAATGTTAGAAGAATTCATTTCTCTTATGCTCCTATGCCAAACATTATTAGCTCTATTATTTTCTCTTGGAAATTGTGTCCTAGTGGCCAATCATTGTATTATGAACATTGTTGATTTATGAATTTCTTAATTATGTTATCATATTATTTGCATGTTTACTATGATGACTATCCTTGGATAACTCATGATTTATCCTAAATGTCCCTAGTCAGTCATCTATGTGGGAGCAGAGATGAAATAAGACCAGTATGACTTTGAAGATATATAGAGATATAAATCAAAGTCATAGGCACACGTAAGAGTACGAGGTGTTGGACCAACCCGCTATGAGAGAGCTGCATGGGTTAAGTCATAAGCTTCTCTCATATACAAACCATGTCACTGTGCCCTTTGACCTGAGATCATCATGGATTCCTACATGAGAAACACTTAGCTTTGACCCAGTCAAAAGTCACTTTTGACTGAGTGATCATAAAGACTATGTTCAGGCTTAGTGTTTTTTTTCATGCGGAGGGAATGGTCAAGATGGAATTTGTCCCTCACATTTGTAGAGAGATATTACTGGGCCCCTCGATGAGTGGGTTTGAGAAATGTATGGCCATACTATAATGGAAAGGTAGTTCTGTTTCTATACTCAGACTACTCAGGGATCGAGAAAGTAACGGTCATGAATAGGAGGATGACGTTCTCCATGCCTCATCCATGACCAAAATGTCGTGTGACAAAAGGGACGTGATATGGTTGTATGAAAGGATACATCGTTCAATAATCCTTATATGATTTGGGTAGTCATGATGTCTTGCTAGAGACCGCTTACGACTTATGAGTCATTATAGTTAATGGCCCACTGCCAACTTCATATGGGCCTACAAGGTCGCACACAAAATAGCCCAACACGAGCTATGATGTCCAGATTCATTGAATCTAAGATATGTCCAGATTCAATGAATAATATAGGGTGGACGTGTATATATATATATATAAATTCGTGTATATATATATTATATAAATATAAGAGATATTAATTGTTGGATTTAATTTATAAGGATAAATTAGATCTATATAAATTAATTCCGTCATATCTTTATTTTGAATTAAATAAATAGGTGAATTAAATCTGTGAGACGGATTTAATATTAGGCAATATTTGATATTGTATTAATTTCGAAATTAATTTAGGATTAATTTCAAAATTAAATATCATTCATAATACCTATAGCATCCTATATATTTGATATGAGGAGCTAGGGTTTTAAGAGTGAGAGTGAAAACACTAGCAGATGAGAGATGGCCAAAACTAGAGAAGGGAGGACAGTTTCTTCGAAAATAAACCCTAGACGGACTAAAAGCGCTAGCACGTTGTTTGTGATTGGAGAGCTGTTCGTGTGGATACCGGTAGAGGAAGCCAATCGGAGTTGTCGACTTCGAGCGATAAAAGAGGCGAGCAGAGGCATCCTGAACAGCAGAATCCCCGAGTCACCAAGAAACCGAACATCGAAGGTAATGCTTCTTACCACTTGACTTAAACACAATCGGTAGATCCGGGCAAGGGATTGAAAATTTTAAAGTTTATTCCGTTGCGCGTCTTTCAATTCCCTTCATTTTCAACCTATTGCTCTTTGTCACATTCTGAGAAAATTTCATCTGGACATAGGAAGTTAAAAATTGGGATGAGGGCCAATGTAAAAACTAGATGAGGAGACGAAACAACTTTTGATGTGAAACCCCAATAAGGTCCGGGCTAGTATTTTCGTAATCATCGATCTAAGAAGGGCAAAATGAGAAAATTTAAGAAAACTCTAGAGAATTCCCAAAAAATGAGAAAAATGTAAATTAGAGGTTTTGGAATCCCGGTTGAGGCCCAAAAAGTAGAATTATTATGAAAATAAATTGTTATGGAATTTTCCATAAACGGAGGTTTTTTGGGAAAATATTGAAAAATTAGAGGAAAACAATTATTTTAATTAGTTAGAGGCCTCAATAATTTAGAAAAAATATGAAAAATCATCTAAATATTTTTTGAAATTTATAAAATTGGTTTTGAGCCTTGGAAGCTCAGGAAATTAATTTTAGAGAATTTAATTTTTCATAGTTACATTGATAGAGGCCTAATCAGGAAAAATTCAAAATGAATAGCTAGATGTGGAGAAAATTTCTGAAAATTTTCAAATCATATCCTTATATAAGAAAGGGATTTCTCATGGAGAGAAATGAATTTTGGAAGGTCTAGAAAAATTATGGAATGTTGCTAATGAATAGTAACCGATAAAGTTTCAAAATGGTTTGGGATTGTTATTTGGTTGATAGGCTATTTTTTTGGGCCATCCTAAACCATGTGTGGGGCCCACACTAGGCCTAGAATGAAGCCTAATTTCATGACTTTTCTGGACAGTTCAAATTAATTAAAATAAAATCTAATTTTCATGGATAAATCATAGAAAACTCTGGTAAATGCACACTTAGATCAATCTGAATGCTTCTTGCTATTGATGCCTGCCAAGTGTAATATCCCAACTTTTGGGTCTAAAAGTACCAGAAATAGCCTAAATTGGATAGGCTACTAGACCCCTTTTAGCAGAAGTTCCAAAGATGAGAAAGGAAGTCAAAGCAGTTTTAGGGACTAAACTGCAAAGTAAAAGTTTTCAGGGGCTCAAGTATAATTAAGGCTAGAGGCTCCAATAAAGTTTTAAGGGCCCAGAAAGAGAAAAGAGAGTAAAAACAGGCTAAGGGTTAAGTTAAAAACCTCAAAGAGAGGATTGTATGAAGTTAAGTCCAAGCAGAGACTAAACCGTAAATTCAGAAAGTTATGACCAACAGGACTAAAAATGGAAGAGTATACAGAGAATTGCAAGAAAATCTCAGAAAATGGGAAATAATATTCTAAGGCTCTTCTGTTAAGAGAAATGATGAAAATACCCCTAAGGTAGCTTAAATGGAATTTATAAGGTTATGGCGGGTAAAAAGTACATTGTTCGAAGTAATTATTTGAAATAGCAAGAGACCTCAAAAATGTATACAAAAATGAGATGAAATGGTTGAAAGGTTGTACTAATTTATAAAATTTATCCTGCAACCAAAAGGCCAGTAGAATGGCTTTAATAAATTAAAAAGCTGATTATACTGATAAAAAAGTATTTTAATAAATGAATTTTATGCAGGGCTTAAAGGAAGTGTTATAGCCTAAGAAAATTCATAGATATTCTCAAGAATTAAAGGGAATTTATGGAGTAGACAGAATAATTTTCTAAGCTCCGGAAGGTCATAAAAAAAGTCAGAGAAACGTGGGCCAAGTAAAATAAGAGGAAACTTAGAGAACAAGTTTGATCCAATGGCTAGGATCTAATCTCCCTTCTCCTCCACCACTTTTGTGACACCTAACAACTTCTAGAAGAATGAGGTAAGGATGATACAAGAAGATGATGCAATGATAATGTAAAAGTTAACTTAGAGTTCCAAGATTACCCTTACTCTTTCTATTAGCCACCAAAGGCATTTTGGTCCATTCAAGCCAAAGTTTTGGCTATAAATACCCCACCTTAGAAGAGCATTTTGGTAGCCATTTGTAGAGGAAAACCTCTGCCAAAATTTAGAGAGAGAAATATAGGGGTGAAGGCCAAGAAGAAGGAACAAGATTCAGGCTTCAAGATCAAGGTATGTGATGGTTATAGCATCTGACTTGATGCCTCTTTCAAATAAGTTACTCTTTGTATCTAATTCTAAAATTTGTCATGATTACAGTACACTCTGTAAGCTTTAAATCCATGGGCAGAAAACTTCATTTGGATATGTGTACAATTTATGGTGATTTTTCAAAGTTGGGGTCTAAAATCTGGAAACAGTGTTTAACCTTTGGTAGAGTGACGAATTTCGTACAATTCTAGTACTGTTTAGCATAGAATTGGTTCCTGAAACTATTTTTCCTTTAAAGAGAACTTAAGGAGCTTTCAGTGAGACTTGGAACCACTCAGTTTTGGTTTTTTCTAAAATTAATTATGAATTTTCAAAGTTGAGTAAAAATTCTGGAATTTCTATGTGAACAGTACCCGTGAAGCAAAATTTTCAGATTTGATCTTCTTGAATCTAAGGCCATTTAAAGTGGTCCTAATTGACAAGAAATGGATCTTAAGGATAGGAAATGATGAGATTTATGTTAGAAAAGCTAGAAAGAAAACCCTAAAACCAAGGGAAAGGGTTGAGGTTCAAGAGAGCTAGTTTTGAACATTGTGCAACCTCTTAGTCCTAATAGATTGTATGATCATTATGACTATGTTTAGAACCTTGGAACATCTAAGAGGATGTTTAGTGATATTGACTGAATGCCCACATGGTTGGAAAGTCAAGGGAGTCAAAGGAAAAGTAAGAGGAAAGCTTGAGATGCAAAGTAGTGAACTTACCTATTCTCATTGCTTGATGTTGCATGCTTGTGTGTTGCTGTGTACATGTTATTTGAATGTTAATGTGACATGTTTTAGCTGTCGTAATTGCTATTCATGATGAGTAGATTATGTCTCCATGGCCATGCATCAAGAAGTTAGCTTTGAGTATGCTAATATGTCACTAATTAACAAGAGAATAAACAAGTTGCGTGTAATGCATTAGCATCAATCTAGCATGATTAATATGGTATTGTTTACTACTGAGACTTCCCTAAATCTCACCCTCCCTAACCAACTATTTAGATC